CAGGATTTCCGTAGCGGTTTCCTTGAAATGGAAACTACGCTAGCCTTCAAAGTTTCGATTACACAGGTGTTATGACAAACATTCAGTGCAGCTGGTCTTTCGAAATGAGCTGTGGAAACTGCATCCACCTCTTAGAATACAGCCGTGAAGCTGATGTATAGCGAAGCTCAAAATCTTGAACGCTAATCAAACTGATATAGAAAGTGGCACCTTTGGACGAACATGCGTCTGGTTAGCGAATTAGTGAATATGGCCTCCCAAGTGGGGGTTGGTGATTGCTGAGTAGAGCCTGGCTAGTTGGAAACGCTTCTGACCGGGATTTCGCATCATCCCTTCCCTCCATCTTTGACAAAGTTGCAGCAATCGTTTGATTTTCTACTCCTTTTTTGAATCAAATAATATTTCCTGTACACGAGGTCTTGCACGGGACAAACAGGGCAGTGCAATGGTGTTCAGTGTATGCCGTTGCTTACGCCTTTAATTTGAATTCTCAATCTTTTGCTCTCTTTTTTGAAAATGAATATCCAATAAAAATTCAACTGATAGATAACCAAAGCCTCGAATTGTACTCACAAATGTTTCGAGTGATTATAACGCCATTATCAGATGTAGTTATCAATAAACCTTTTTCTTTACAGAGATATCATTAGTTAAGAATTGGAGATTACTGGCGGTCGGTCAAGTTTTGTCAGGAATGATATTGAACAAAGAGGATCCCTCATTGAGTCACAAACCTTGCTGGGTAGCGGTCGTATCCTAATAGCAAGGAATGAACGAAATTCTCGTCTGCTAATCATAGTGCCGCTGGGTCCCTATCAGTTCCCTTACAACTCACTTTTGTCACCCTACTCTACCATTCCGTTTTATTGAATGAAACATACTAAGCAGTCAATATTAGGCGGCTCTTTATAAGCGCCTTATCAGTTCTTATCAATTGTTATCGTCCCAGAGTACCTCCGACCACGTCACATCCTACATCACCTATTGAAATACCCAGGTTCCACTGTTGTCACGAAGGACATTTCGAACCTAGTGGCCTTAGCCTCCAAGACTCTTAGCCAGCCTTTGCCCGCTTGTTATCAGCCCTCGTCACCAACCACCTTCGGTCCCTTTACATAACACACTGCCTCCCAAAGTGCTCCACTAGTAAGATGAAAGACGTTTTAGACCTAATGGCTCTCGCCTTCTATGGCTCGTTATCAGTCTCTAACAGTTGTAATCAGTACCTTGAACATCTATGGTCCATTCTTAATCCACATCTCTAACTAACGCCAAGGCTCCAACGTTTACAAGAAGGAGGTAATGGGCCCTGCGGCTCTCACCTTCTATTGCTGTTTGTCAGTTCTTTTCCCTTGTTATCACCTCCTATCACATATCGTCAGTGTTCCCATCCTTTTTGACACAGTAGAATTCACATAGTAGAATTCTTTTTGCTGCTGCGGTGTTTTCAACAATTGGATGGAAAAGGTGAATTATTTTTACTGTTAACAGTGTCTTTCTTTATTGACCTATGTTTACGAGTGACTAAATTTCGAAAGGCATTTCCGCTTACTGTAGTCAGCTATTCGCACCAAGACCCACATGAACGCAATGCCACACACTGTTTAGCTCTTCCAACACCCCTTCTACTTCAATCTTCTGGCCTTATTCTCGTCCAGCCCCTTTTTGGCGAGTCAGTCTTTTTTCACTTCGGGAGCACTGACTCACGTGCTTTCTTCGCCTGCATCGCACTATGGTCCATGTTCTCTTCCATTTTTCGTCAAAATCCGAATAACTCGGAATTATCGTGAACTTTGCCTTTGAATAGCGCGGACCACTCTCCCATTCAGGATAGATTCGAAAAGATAGGCGCAGCACTACCATCCATTGTGCTTCGTTAGACTGTAGGATGGCATAAATCAGATGCTGCCCAATATTAACGAGCGTCAACAGCTTTGATCAATCTTTTCTCGGGTGGGTGATGTGGGTGAGTTAATCAGAAAGACCCTCTTTGAATGACAAGTTGGTTTGCTTTCTTTGACGAGCGCATTATTTTTAAACACTCCCGCAGTATTTTTTTTTTTGACCAAGCCTTGCTGAAAAATACAAATAGCTCTCAGAAGAAGACAAGGATGCCTCAGAAGAAGACAAGGATGCTACTTTCATGTGGAAATCTGGCTGGCCGTTGAAAGGGTGAATATAAAAAATCGTTGTGCCATGGCCAAACCTCATCACATACTGCTGAATAAAAAAAATTCAGGAAATTCCCATTCTTCCCTGCAAAGCGCTTCAGTTCCATGGGGATACCCGAAAACAGCAAACATTCAATAGAAACAAATGAAAGGGATTGTTTAGATGTCTCCGTAGCGCCAAGAGTCCAATCGCCACAACACTGATTTCAACCATTTCCAGCTTCTTATTGACTGTTGGAGAGCCTTCTCGTAGCCTTCTTCTATCAATTACGTACTGTTTTTTTTTTGATTGAGGTGATGCAACTTATTATCGTTTCACCAGTTTATAATTGATATAAAAAGCGAAAAAGTCAGTGCTCAAAGTAACTGCGTAGGTAACGTATGCTGTTCTATTGAGGTCTTGGAGCAGCTATTAACACCTCAACATCAAAGTTGCATAACAAGCAGCCGTTGCTACGATTCACGTTACTCATTTCATCCATTCAGAAATTTCAGCGGCTGGCAGACTGGTAGACCCCACCATGGACTCGATCGTTTCTAAACTTTTACTAGCGCACACACAAGAATGTACAATCGGAGCTGTAGTGTAGCCATGGTAGGGGCATCTGGGGGCACCTCATTGTTAGTGCCAAATTGAAACGACCAGAGAAAAGAGATGGCCGGCACTGCTTTCTGATGCCAGAGGGCGGTGTGGTTCGCGTATGAAAGGCTAAACGAGTAGAATGAGTGTGAAAACTTTGAGTGGTGCAGACTACTTCAGTTTGCCTCGCCTTCAGCTATTTGGCAATAAAAAAATGAAAGAACGTTTAGAAAAAAAGAAGTGCACTGCTCGAGGAGAGGTCGTTGTGAGCGCTTCCAAAAAGGGGATAAAGTGGCACAGACTTTAAAGAAACTTAGAGAATAGACCCCGGTTATTGCCGAAGCAGCACCTTCTTTGTTCATCCCTCACCCTAATCCCTTTTGGTCGCAGGGGTTCCCCTTCTTGTAACTTGTCGTGACTGTTCGAGGCATCATGCGATGGCTTTCCTTCGACATCCTATCCCGTTGCCATTTTTATCGTTTGATCCTGTGGCCTTCTCAGTGCGTATCTCACCAGCGCATTCTTAGCACTACAAGGGCGGTCAGCATGGCCGTCCTGGTAACCTAGTTTCTGATCCGATATGGTCGAGTCCAACCGCAGGCCGATCTGAGCATCCTCACTTCAGCGGAGCCAAGTTGTTCTTAGGCTTCTTGCTTGCAAGAGAACTCTCCCTGTCGTAAAACATTGTGTACATCACCACTGCTCTGGACACCTTTTCCTTGACAGTAATGGAGCATGGTTGGCTTAGAGGATACTAATCGGCTTTCACCATTTTATTAATGCCGCATTCTGTTAGGCTTTTACAGCCTGGTCCACACAGCCTGGTCCACGCTACTGCCAACGGCTAGGTCTCTCCCCAGGTTTCGAAACACCCGGACTCTCTTTGAGGCTTCTTCAATACATGTACTCTTTCCTTTTGACCATGCTTCCAGCTGCATGTAGTCTTCAGCGAATTTTTCGTTACACTCATGAACACTTCTTCTCACGATGGAAGTCATAGAATCAACGATTGCAGGGGTCCCTTATAATAAGTTGTTTCGCCCAGGATGAAAATGTGCTTTGAAACCGGAAACCAAACCTGTATTACTTGATGGTACCAGCCACAGCATCTTCCTCCACCATCTCTCGGTCGACAAATTTGCGCCTGAATTCTGAAATTTTACCATATTTTGAATTCGAGGCCCCATCTTATACCACACCTGCAGTTACAAGGAGCCCCAGAGATTGTATAATGTGAATGCCATGCCCATAGTGTACGAGTTTCAACAGCATTATAGAGGCTACACCACTCACAAGGGGCCAATGTAGCGAGTTCCAACAAGTTGTCATGATCTATAGCAGCAGTGAAAGGCAGTCCCGAATAGTTTTGGCTTAGGGTAGACAGCTCTTCGCGCCATGTCAGCAACTGAAACCTTGTCCGAATACCCTTCCATGTCATTTCCACAACGTTAATTTCAAACAATCTCTATTTTCACTACTTTCAGGAGCCTTATTTTTCTCGAAATCGAAAACATTTCTCGCTTCCTTCACCACTGATGCCCTATTTCCAAATAATACTTCTGATTTACAACTTAAAAAGGGTCCCTCACAAGTGAACTGTGCCTTTAACACGCCTAAGAACAGCAAACAGCCTACGTCAAGGTGTTGCTGCATCCACCTTGATTCATTTTGGATGAAGGAGAAGGAGCAGTTAGTTAAACCTTGCTGCCGATACAAGAACTATATCATGAGGCAAATCTTATTTTAAGTAATCGAGCTTTCACGCATTAATTTCAGCTGATAGAGAGCATTCTCCTGCGTTAGAGATCATGGCATAACCAGGGAGAAGTGCTTCAAAAAGTAAAGTCCAAACTATTCGTTGGCTTCCTTGACTACTATGGTTCCGTGTGGATGTTCAGCTGTTTCGATATTACATATGACGCAAGAAGTTCTAAATAGAGTAGGCAGCATTCAAGTATGAGGGTGTGGTAACCTCTTCCCAAAAAACGCGTCGCGCTCGCCATATTGGTTCACGCGCAGCGCAGTTGCGCGCTATAACGGTAAAGGTTTTAATTCTCGTGAAAAGATACAGTAGTCGCTGCGAAACCACTGCCACTCGCTGTGAGTTCCGGAACAAGCAACTCCACCCCACAAACGATCATAGTTCCTTGCAATGATTTCAAGATATAATATCAGCAGTGGTGTTTACTGTGAAGAGAGTACAAGAGTTATACTTCAACCTCAGTGAGTAGGGTTCATTGTGACCTTTTATGCCGTCTTCGAAGGACGATGAAAGCAAATCCAGTAAGTTTTCCACCTGAACCTTGTGTGACATTGAGTCAATTTGTTTCATTAAGGTGTTCTACAAAGAATAGAGGAACTGCGCAAATTATTCGTTGCATTTCGTAGAAACAAGCAGGCCCAGAAACTGGATGCGGAGCCCGTGGTCCACAGGTGAGATCAAACATTTGCTAGGATCGCTGCTGAATGGCTGTGGGAAACCGCACTCATTATTAGGATGTAAACGTAGATTCTCAACAGCGAATGTCACTACTTTATGTTCCACCAGTTGCGTTACGATTACTCATACATGCATCGTATGCCCACGACCGCATGTCTACGATGAAAGTGTTCAGCAGAGTCTCACAATATTCTAATACTCTTCCAATTTGAACGCCCTGAGGCGATCGTGTGGATATCCCACTCGATCAATGTCCTTATCAAAAATTTCCCTGCAGGTGTCACCTTCCTGTGGCTAGAAGGAGACAAGCCGCTCTGTAACACAAACCAAACGGCTGACTCTGATTGACCGACACCGACCGATACCAGTGTAGAAGCGTTAAAAACTCATCTTGTTTACCTCTCGAAAGTACGACCGCTTTCTGTTTGGAAAAAATCAAATGGTATAGGCGGTTCTCCGATCAGTTTATGACGTCGCCGACTGGCAATCACATTTTGCCTACTCTCAATCGCCTGATTGCGATTCCCAGTCGGTGACGTCATGAAGTGATCGATATCGGTTGCGATATCGATGTAAATGTCGACTTCATATTTCATATTGCTTTCCTTAACGGGAGGTTTCTTGAAATTACACACTTCCCATCGCACCGCCCTGACTTTCTGCGGACTTACAGACAGAACAACATACCGACAAACAGACACACAAAGTTAGAGGTTCATCTTCATAAAAGATAGTAACAGTTTTGTGTGGTTGCCTTCAGGCAACGTCATTAGTCAGGCGAAATAATCATTAGCAGATGATGCAGTTCACGGTCAAGATGAACTCAGATAGGAAAGCTTCTAGAACTGCGAGTCACCATAGATGAATTGCTTGAGGAACAACCCTATTTCACTCTTATGTCGTTGTCCCTTATGAGGACATTCTGTTTTGGTCAATGATGATGATGTGATAGTTTGATCCTCTTGGTCAATGTCATGCGACCTTCAATTTACGCTTCTGATGCCTGTTTCTGAGAACATCCATGTATTGTAAAACATAAGTTTTTTAGGCTTGAACAGCAACACCGTGCCTGAACAAAAAAGGGTGAAGTGAAAATTGGTATTAGCACTGAGAAACACCCGTGGTATTGATAAACATGCCCAAAAAATGAAAATGCAGTAAAGGCTTCACTGACACGGATGGATCAGAATGCATAATCACTACGCAACGACGTTACGAGTTTGTAGCTGCTGCGAAATTCTGATAAAGACAGTTCTTCACAGAAACGTCTTTGTCAAGAATACTATTGTCAGTTGTGTCAGGTGTAGCATTTTCATTGCCTGCATGGCACTGATTAAATTGATCAGGAGCGGTTCTGAATGAATAACGAAGTATGAGTCCACTCAACTTTTATCAAGCCAGTTTCAGAGATGCGTAGAATCGTTGTGGCATTCCGAACGCGTATGTTACCTACACATTGGCTTGCGGAGACCGATGTCCGTTTCACCAAACGGTGCCACTAGAACTGCCCACTCTGTGGGCTAATTCTAAGCTGATTGCTGACATTCGAATACAGGCGACAGGTCCCCGTGACAGGCCGGCCCATGGACACCCACGTCACATCGAGAACGTTGATGTCACTGAATGAATCTCTAGGTAATGCAACCGGGCTAGTACAAAAGTCGCGCAACATATGGAAGACTCGCGTTGCGACGCTAAATGTTGACAAGTTAACGGGACGCTAGTAAGAATTAGCATAAGCCCTAGAGCGTCGATGAATTGACACTGTGCGTGCAAAAAGTGAGGTGGTTCCACTGCAAGTCCAGGAGCATTGGCCACGGCTTTGAAGCCGTTCTTTTAAAGTGGTGGTCTCAAATCGGAGTTGGGATAATTGTCTCTGAACCGTACCGTGTCCGATAGTGAGCGTGATGACTGCTTGATGAAAAGCATTACAGTCATGGGACGCCAAAATACCGTCGATTCTCAGCGTACGCTTCATAGACTGGATGCCTCGAGCAACAGCGACAAGTTCTGGAACTTGCTTGATGAAAAGCCAGCTGAAGTACTGGTACAAGAAGCCATAGTTGTCGCGGATGACCTAAACGGTCACGTGGGCGCTTCTAGAGACTGTTCTAGCTGTCATGGTGATTTTGGATATGGATCACGTAACAGTGACGGCGAGCGAATTCTCGTATATGTACGTATGTATGTAAATTCGTGTTTACAATGACAAGATTATACGGGTGCATAATCTTGTCATTGTAAACACGAAATTTTGAAATGTGACTCCCATCTAATGAAGTATAGCGGCGAGAACAAAACACAAATTTTGTTCTTGTCAGGCAGTGCGATCATAACAGACGCGAAGACAGCATTCTATAGAACGGTCACAACACAACACCGACCGGCAGAAACTCGAACTAGCGGAAAGGTGTGGACCAGCGAGAATCAATCGGTGGCGACTGAATGAGAAAGAATCTGCCGTCGCCTCCCGCGTTCTATTAGCAGCGGTAACCACTGTCGACGAAACTTGGAAGGGAGCTGACGAAGCGATAACCCGGGTTGCGCAGTCGGAGCTCGGCATGATCAAGTCTGGACAGTGAAAGGTTGACAATAAACATGGCAGTGGACGAACCATGTCAGAGATAAAGTACGTGAAAAGAAAAAGCAGTACCACGCATTTCTTAAGACAGCTGGTAACTTGCAGCGCTATCATATAGCGAAGAAAGAGACGAAGAAAGCCGTTGCTTCTGCGAAGGCTTTCTTCGTCTCATTATAAGCCGATCATATATGAAACGATGGTGAGACTGTGGTACATTTACAAACTGGCAAAGATCCGCAATCACTAGACCAAGAATATAGTAAAGTTCTTCCACATGAATGACGAGAACGGTCACTTCTTGATGGACCTAAACACCTTAAGCAAACATTGAAACGATGGCGAGAGTACTTAGAAAACAACTCAGTCGAATTTGCTCATTCCGCGATCCCTTGGGCTCCACCAGTACATGGTCGCGTCCCGAAGATAACCGTGGAGATCAGCATGGCTATGAAGAGCATGAAATCAGGCAAAGGAATTGGCCTTGACGACTTAGCGGACTTGTAGAAATCAAAGGAGGCGGATTCGTCAATCAGGTCGTTGCAGAGAAAAAGGTGCCTGGGAGCTGGCAACTGAGCACGACGATTCTTATCTGGAAGAAGGGCAGGCCTAAAGACAGCACTTGCTGCCGTAGAATCGGCTCACTCTCGCACAGCACATAAATCTTCGAGAGAATTGTACACGGTCGTATCCGTGACATTGTCGAGCTGACCACAAACCAGTGTGGTTTTGTGATGTTTGCAGCATCAATGGCTGCTTTCATAGTCCGCAGGCCGGCGCGCTGGCGCGCNGCCTGCGCGCCAGCGCGCCAGCGCGCCAGCGCGCCTGCCTGCGGACTATGAAAGCAGCCAATGCCATACACGCCACTCGCCTTCCAGAAAAGCGTCGCGGGGAGCAAAGTCGGTACGTCTTGCCTTTCTAGACTCGGAGCAGGTTTTCGATCGCATTCCGTGTGACGTTATGCATGTGGTATGCCTTACGACACCATTTCGTTCCCGAAGAGTTTGTCGAGCAAGTTCGCATCCTTTACTCTAGTCCAAGGAGCCGGGAGCAAAGAGCAGCGGGCATATCAGAGGATTTTTCCACCTCCGTTGGAGTACACCAAGGCTCTGTGCGTTATCCCAACTGCTATTTGATGTCACCACATGGATACTATCAAAATAAACCTTCAAGCCGGCTACAAGGACGCTTCTTTATGCCGATGACGTGATCCTCGCCAGCGAAGACAAAAGCGAGCCCGAGCAACAGGTGCAAACCTGGTCCGACCGTCTGGCTATGTTCGGGCTTAGGTTAAACGTCAAGAAGACCGAACACTTGACCACTGATCCGAGCAGTCCAGGCTATATCAAAATCAATGGTACTGAGCTCACACGGAGAAACATTCAAGTATCTTGGATAAGCAATAGCGTCTCACGGAAGCCTGGTTTTCGAAACGAATTCTCGCGTGAGCGCAGCGTGGTTGGAGTGGCGCTCGATGACTGGCGTACTCTGCGATAAGAACATGCCTGAACGTCTAAAATCCAAGATCTATAGAACCGCCATCCGGCCGATTACAATTTACGGCGCTGAGTGCTGGTCTGCAACCAAAGAAGTTGAAGCACGTCTCATTGTCAGTGTGGCCAGAGTTACACGACTAGAATGACGCATAAGTAATGAGGTCATCAGGGAGCGATTCGGTGTAGCGCCCACTGTCGGTGAAAGGCGTATCGTTTCCGATGGTATGGTAATCGTCTTCGCGCGAATGATGACAGTGTCCGTAAGACGTGTCAACCTTGAAGAGGACGCTCAAAGCAGCGAGCACTTTGCACGGAGATCTGTAACGATTAACATCCGCCCCGTTCATTCGGGAGAAGTGGCGTCAACATATCTGAAATCGGGATGGTCGCTAAGGACTAAAAGGGACAAACAGAAGAAGGCAATGGCTTGCGGTGAGCTGCTGAAGTGATGCTTTTATCCTCCCAGACGAATTCGATACAACTTAAAGGAACCTGAAGGAGTGGAACGCATGTTTGTTCTGGGCGAGTACCGATCCATTATTCTATCCTCTGACCGCCCGCATGTGATAGTGCGCCACTTGCCTTTACATCACCTCCGCATCTCTGAATACGTTGCGTAAGCATTTGAGCTGACGCATTATGTTGACTTCCGCTGCGGACGAGTGATTCATGTGATACTCCGTTCCAGTACCTGTATAATGTTTCAGTACTCAACCTACAAAATATGATGATCAAGAGAGGACCTTGTTTGAGGACGTACAAGTTAAAAAACGACCAGCAGTTTCGCTGCGAAGAAAGAGTTCAATTAAATGGAAGACTGACCAGCAGGTGAATCTACTATTCGGTACATCTTACTGCTGATATTGATGAACCACTTACGATTAGAGCTTAAGTACATAATGGCAAACAGTGACCATGTAGATTTTGTATGTATGAAATGTGTTTGGAAAGTCATATTCAGTTGTGGAGGTAAAGCATCCCCAGTTTAACATGAGTGATGGTCTTGCCTCCTTGCTTGTAATTTAAGTCATTATTCTCTTGAGTAGAAAAAGGGGGTTTTGATACATTGATAAGTGGTTATGTGCTACAATCCATAGGCGTATGCGAAAGCAAAGCCAGGAAGTTGGTAATGCACCATTGAGTTGGCTCCAAAGCTATTGTTGTGATAGTTTCTTTTCGCACATCTTTTACCTCATCTAGTTTTTTCTTAACTACGCCTACTAATAAAGGAATACAAACGGTGTCCTAGTGGTATATGAAACCTCGCTTCACAATCAGTTACTGAAAATTTTCAGGATGATAAAGCTGTAAAGAAGAAAGATGGTCACTTGGTTAGTTTGTCTGAATTCTCTAACGCTGATCAATAGCGTGCTCTCGACCTGCTATTCAAAATCTTAGTGGCGTTTGGAACATAATGAATTCCCCAGGTCAACCAATGTATATGTCAGTGCTTCTATCCCTCCATGCAATCGTTGCAACAAGTTTTCAATCACGAGTATACGAAACGTTCGATTGACTTGACTTAGAGCAGTCAAGAAAGGCTTATTAAAGAATTCAGTTGCTCCACATTTGGCCAGTGTATTCGTACTTTCATGAAATTCTGGGATAAATATGTTACGTAGCGAAGTGGTTCGACCAGTACTCATTTTCAGTGAATTTATTACCAAACCATCCCTGTTCTTGACCGATTGGAGATCTTGAGAACTCAGTGCATTGCTCTTAGATTGAAGTCTTCAGATTTGGGGCCAAGGAGACGATACCTCAGTAGAAGAAATCGTTCAACATCGAGATTTCAGAATCGCTCAGAAAGTGCGCAAGTGTTTTCGCCAATGTCTTTTCTTCTTCACTTCACTCGCGGTTACTCTTCCTTTTAGATAACGGCGGAAGCCAAAAAGTCCAAGATGATAGATACTCTTCTCAGTCAAGCAGACACAGAAGTTTTGCGAAATCTCTTCGAGTCAGAACTGGCTCGGCCTACTTTCAAGGTCAGCTTCGTTTGTTACAAATGAAAATGAAGCTTTTTGTTAATGATGGTCTAGGTTTTCAAGGAAGTAAAGCTGTTACACGTTGCCTTAAACAAGCTTTGGGAAGAAATAATGTGCAATATAATGAAGTACAACTTCGAACATGAAGTACACCTATTTCTATGCGAGCGAGAGAAGGTAAGTAGAACTAAATGTCCGACATTCGAATATCTTGTTACCGCTGAGTTTGTGCATTCTGTAATCGTAATAGATAGTATTTCGATGAAAACTGAATATGGTATATTGGGCAGCACAGGTTTTCAGAATGCACAGAGGTTGTCTGAAATTGGCTTCTTCTATCGAGGATTTCAGGTTAAGGCTCGAATACTCGACGTCATGCTGATATGTCCACAAAATCTTCCTGACAACTGGGGTAGAAGTAGAATGTGTCCGTTTTTAGGTTTCCAGAGTTACAACTTCTAAAATCAACCTCAGTTTTTTGTCGCTTCAGCCACTACCACTTTTAGGTTCATGGGTTGAGGGTTCTAACCTCGAAAGTTTGCTCAAGTCTGTTCATTATGAAGATGCACCGGTTATCCCATCACCTGTAGCTCAGGTATGCCCGTCAATGCCTAAATCAATTCTAATTCTTCAACAAAATCTTCTCAATCTACGCTCATTGAAAATCGGAGTCTGATCGGAGTCGGAGTTTGATATCTATGTTTGATATAACTTACCTCAACCGATGGAAACATTGTTTCCTTTGGAATCATATGTGTATGCGCCAATAACATGAAACGCGAAGGAAAACCGCGCTGGCGGTCGTCCTGGTGTTCATTTAACGTCCCGAAGAATCCTGTCAGCAACCTTTCAGTCCAACGGTCTTCACGATATCGCGTTTGTGTCCGGCACACCTGACCTTCGATTCCTTGGCGTAAGCAACGGCATCCCTGTTCGTTGATCGTTGACGGAGCTCAAAACTCTTGATTCCTTTCTGCACTTGCATGCATGAGAGGACCCTGAGCATCGTTATTTCGGCTGGCTTTCAACGATGATAACAGCATGCTCATCTTGCTTCGTGAAGTCAAGTCTCCGAGACGTACGTCAAAGCAGGAAGGATCGCGCTGCCGATATGGTGAGACGGATGTTCTTCGACTCCTTCACTACGCCCTCGATTTTTTAAAGCGCTCCCACGCCGCGCGTTTCATTTCTAGTCAGCACCGGAGCTACGTCGTTCTTCATGTTGACTCTTTGACCTGGATGCCGTAGCTGAAGCAATAGGGGATGTTCGTTCCAGTTAGCGCAAAAGGAGCAGCATCAAGTACCCATCAATTTCTTATGAATATCGTCTTTCGCTGTTGATTCGTTTCGCCTGCCCCATGTTCGCTGCTATAAACTTAAGTAGCAGCCATCGGTCTCCACCACTCTCAAGCCCTCTCATTCCAAATGACGCGTGATGCCCTCGAGAGCGCGATTGAGAGAGGGGTTCGGCAGGGCGTACCATCTCGCCTAACGGGGAGTTTGGTTCGATCTCAGATCCCCTTCTCACTCGATTATGTATCTTCCATATTAATCCGCTGATATTCTGCTATATGCTGCCTCTTCAGGAGGAAAACCCATTCCATAACTAGTTCATTTTGTAGAGGCTTTGGAACCCCGCCTACCTTTTCATCCAAACAAATGGTCTAGGCGCATCCACAATGAAAAGCACATTTCCATCACACCTTTCACGACCAGCCTGTTCCAGAGCGTTCCATCACAGTGGACCAAACATATGAAGGAGATTGAGGTAGTGAAGTCAAAAATGCAAGATTTAGCGGAACGAATTAAAAAACAGCCCGATACGGTGAGTGAATTTCTCATAACAACACACAGCCAGTTCAAGCTCTAAGCTAATTTATCTACCCTGCATTTTTGCAAAGTCAAATATAGTAGTTATTGGTTTGTCAGCCTCCGCAGAACCTGTAATACACAACTATGTGCTGTGCGATTGCGATGAGGGAATGCGTAAATCATCAAGACGATATGAGTTCGAGTAGGCTTCAAATCGGTTACCATTTTGATATACGAGGGGTAAAAATTTGACTCGTCCATTTTTACAGGGGAAACGGAGGGAGAGGAGTGTTGACCGTAGTGAATGGAAACTAAACAACCCTCCATACAGCCATCTTTTTTTGTAATTTCTGAGATATAATCACTACGTTACGCCAGGAGTTCCACTATTCGCATAATTTGCATTGTATCTTAACATTCTTGACACATAGTTAGCTGAAAAGCGTAAATGTGTGCAGAAATTTTTCTAGCAATAAGTGCTTGTAAACACTGAACAAAAGGAAGGACAGCTTTGTTAATATAGTCAAGTCAAATATAAGTGATTTGTTTCGCCTCAAATCAGGAATTCGCTTCGTTTTCACTAACCCCTCGGATTTCGCGGGTGTTCCTAACGTACCTCCGTGAATCGAGGTCAGCTTAAAAAATACACAAAGGAAGAAGGTAAAGTTAGTAATGGAGAGAGTGCTAGGACCCCGAGAAAGCGATTCAGTTACGACTATGGTCACCGTTTGGCAATAGGGCATCATCACTTCTTTTGGTAGGCCTGTATCGTTCAGTTTTTATAGGTATCAAGAGGCGAAAGAGCATCGCAAGAAGCACAAAAGGGTTCTCCTACTTTAAGGACCTCTACTAAGAGCGTGATTGCACGCTCCAAAGAAAAGAAAGAGGTTAGCTTCGAAAAGTTGATTATATTTTGTTGGCAATATGTAGGGCACAAGAAATGTAAGTTGCTAATCACTAATATGATGACCGGGCTCATATGAGTGAGGAATTTTTATATTACAGGGCCGCCAAAAGGTTCGAGTGAGGAAAGCAGATTCACGGAAAAGAAAAACGCGGAGCAAAGTGGAAAGGAAGGACAAGAAAGAAACTGTTGTTTTACCGGCTAAGAAAGAAGAGAAGCTTGAAAAGAAAAAGGAGGAAACTGTTGTTTTACCGGTTAAGAAAGAAGAGAAGCTTGAAAAGAAAACGGAGGAAGTTAAAGAGAGTGTGGAAAAATCTGTCGTGCAGGAAATCCAAGCTGCCAGCGACTATGACAATGTAAAGATCAGCACAGACGATGGCGGTGAAAGTTTTGACCCAGCACATGAAAAACGATTACAAGAGGAGATAAAGAAAGCAGAGAAAGGGGAAACAGGAGTCATTGAAATGCTTTGTCAGCAGGACATTATCGTACATGACACAAAAGAACAGAAGGAACAAGTTGATGTACAAAAAGACACTAATGTTCAGGATAATGAAACTAGTTCAAAGCAAGAGAAAGGCCTCTCGGGGAAAAGTGATAGTAAGAGCGAAAAAGGTAAAGAAAGGGTGGAGGAAGATGGAAAAGATAAAAAGAAAGGCCATATAGAAGAACAGAAAAATGAGCATAGTAGGACTATTAGAAAGAGAGTGAAACAACGCGAGAGCTATGCTAGAAAGGAGTCGACCCAAGGAGAAAAGGAAAAACCTCAAGACTTCGTAAAAGAAAGAGAAATGCGTGGAGAAGGAAAAGAGCTGGAAACGGAAGTGGAAATGGAAGTCAGTGAAAAAGTAATCACCTGTGATAAAGAAGCGCTTAGAACGAGCAGCTCACACGGAGAAGAATTTAAAACGAAGGAGAAGCAGATAAAAGATGAAAAAATAGGAACGGACTCAGAGAAAAGCGTAAAGATAGATCGCGAAGCAGAAGTTACCACTACCAAAGGAGACAGAGAAAAAGAATTAAAAGATGAGGAACGGAAGGAGGTAAAAGTTGAACTAGTAGAAGTGAAACAGGATGAGAAGAAGGTATCAATAACTGAGGTAGGAAAAAAATTGGAGAAAGTTAAAGACGATCAAAAAGAAAGTCTAGATAAAAAGGAAGGAAAGGAGAAGATTACTGCCATAGGAGCAGAAAAAAAGATCGAAAGGGAGGGAGCTACGGCAGACAGTCGGGACAAAAAAGAGATCGAAAAGAAGATAGCAGTAGTAGAAACAATTTCGAAAGTCAAGGAAAAGATGGAGACTGATGTAGAAAGTCGTAGCAAAAAAGGAGAAAAGAAGATGATCCCAACAGAATCGTTCAAGAAATTAGTGAAAAAGAAAGAAAAAATAGATAAAAAGCAGGAGATCAAAACAGATAGTCAGGACCAGAAACAGATTGACAATAATGTGCTCCCAGAAGAAACCGCCAAGAAAGTCGAAGAGAATAAAGAGGGTGGAGAAGAGAGTAAAAACAAAAAAGAAGGCGAAAAGAATGTAGTCCTACCAGAAATCAGCAAGAAGATCGAAAAGGTGGAGGAAAAGAAGGAAGTCAAGGTGGAGAGCCAAGACAAAAAGGAAGGTGAAAAGAAGGTGGCTCTACCAGAACCTGCCAAGAAAGTCGAAGAAAAGAAGGAAGTCAAGGTGGAGAGCCAAGAGAAAAAGGAAGTTGAAAAGAAGGTGGCTCCACCAGAACCTGCCAAGAAAGTCGAGGAAAAGAAGGAAGTCAAGGTGGAGAGCCAAGAGAAAAAGGAAGCTGAAAAGAAGGTGGCTCCATCAGAACCTGCCAAGAAAGTCGACGAAAAGAAAGAAGTCAAGGTGGAGAGCCAAGAGAAAAAGGAAGTTGAAAAGAAGGTGGCTCCACCAGAACCTGCCAAGAAAGTTGAAGAAAAGAAGGAAGTCAAGGTGGAGAGCCAAGAGAAAAAGGAAGTTGAAAAGAAGGTGGCTCCACCAGAACCTGCCAAGAAAGTCGAGGAAAAGAAGGAACTTAAGGTGGAGAGCCAAGAGAAAAAGGATGTTGAGAAGAAGGTGGCTCCACCAGAACCTGCCAAGAAAGTTGAGGAAAAGAAGGAAGTTAAGGTGGAGAGCCAAGAGAAAAAGGAAGCTGAAAAGAAGGTGGCTCCACCAGAACCTGCCAAGAAAGTTGAAGAAAAGAAGGAAGTCAAGGTGGAGAGCCAAGAGAAAAAGGAAGTTGAAAAGAAGGTGACTCCACCAGAACCTGCCAAGAAAGTTGAAGAAAAGAAGGAAGTCAAGGTGGAGAGCCAAGAGAAAAAGGAAGTTGAAAAGAAGGTGGCTCCATCAGAACCTGCCAAGAAAGTTGAAGAAAAGAAGGAAGTCAAGGTGGAGAGCCAAGAGAAAAAGGAAGTTGAAAAGAAGGTGGCTCCACCAGAACCTGCCAAGAAAGTCGAGGAACAGAAAGAAGTCAAGGTGGAAAGTAAAGATGAAAAAGAAGGTGAGAAGAAGATAGTCCCACCAGAATCAGTCAAGAAGGACGAGAAGGTAGAGGAAAAGGAGGTGCAATTAAAGGGTCAAGACAAGAAAGAGAGTGAAAAGGTCAGACGAAGAAGTAAAGATGAAAAAGAACGTGAAAAGAAGATGATTCCAGCAGAGATCATCAAAAAGATTGATGAAAAAAATGAGTTGAAAATAGAAAGCCAAGATAAGAAAGAGGGTGACAAGGTGCTTCCAGCAGAAACTCGGAAGAAGATCGAAAAGGTCGAAGAAAATAAGGAGCTGCTATTGAAGGGCCAAGAGAAGAAAGAGAGTGAAAGAAAGATGAGAGCAGCAGTATTCAAGGAATTCGAGAAGAAGAACAAGGTCAAGCTGGAAAGTAAAGGCAAATTGGAGAGTGATCAAGAGGTGATTGCATCAAAGACCGTTAACAAGGTCGAGGATAGGAAGGAGATCAAGATGGAGAGCAAGGATAAAAAAGAGATTGATAAGAAAATGACACCAGCAGAAGCAGTTAGAAAGGACGAGGAAAAGAAAGAGGTTAAACTGGAAGGACATGTTGAAAGAGAGAGCGAAAAGAAAGTAACACCGGGAGAAGAACTCAAAAGGATTGAGGAAAAGATGGAGATAAAGGCTGAAAAGGTCGACGGAAAGGAAGAAGTAAAAATGCAGAGTCAAGACAACAAAGAAAGCAAAAAGAACATCGTAGCAGAATCCTTCGCAAGAGTCGACAAAGGCGAGGAAAAAAATGGTAATCAAGGCAAAAAAGAGAAGGATGAGAAGTTTGGTCCCACAGAAATCATTAAGAAGATGGATAGGGTCGATGAAAAGAAGCAGACTAATGTGGAGAGTCAAAACAAAAAAGAGAGTGGTGACAAGATGGCACAAGCAGAAACAGCTAAGATTATCGATAGTAGGAAGGAGACGAAAGGAGACAGAAAAGAAATTGTGACGGAGGTGGATCCTATCGAATTGAAGAAAATCCAGGAGAAAAAGGTGCAGCAGCTGAACGAAGGTGAAAGAAGCGCCGATAAAAGAAAGACGATCTCGATCAAAACACATAAAAGGATTGAGGAGAGGAAAAAGGACAAACTGGAGAATCAACGTGAAGAAGAGGGTGGAAGAACTATTCCAGCGGAGGCAACGAAAAAAGACAACGTTAAAAACATTCAAGAAGAAAAAATGGATGGAGAAAAACAAGTGCTCCCCCAGAAGGACGTCGTAAAGATAGGCGAAAAGGAGGATGGTAAAGATGCTGAAGTTGGAGAGGAAAAATCGACGGAAGAAGAAGAAAAGGATTCAAAGGATTTAACATCATCAGAAAAGGAAGTTAGGAAGGAGGAACAGAAGAAGGAGCAAAAAGCTGGCAATGATGTTATTGCGAATAAGATGCATTCGATAAAAGGAAGTAGAAAAGAACAGGAGAAAAAGGAGAAACTTGAGAAAATAGCGCCGGATGTGGCCAAACATAGAACTCGTCAAGCTTCAAGTAGAACAAGGACAGCTTCAGTGAAAAAATCAAAAAGGAGTTTACCCGGAAAGTGACTGAAGAATTAATTATTCAAGATTACCTTAACAGGTTGGTTACCCGTCGGGGATCTGATTTGACCTGTGATTTTTTGAACAACAATCATAGGTCCGAATACAGCTAGCTTTATTTTCAGATATGGCAAAAGTGCGAACAAACTTTAACCCTAAGTATAAGCCTTTGATATTTCAATGAATGTTCAAAAGCTTTAATAAAGTATATTAAGTTTAAGTGTTGACCGTTGATTATTTGGCATAGTCGTTTTCAAAGAAATCGTTGAGTTCCCTGTAAAAGTTCTTACGCTAGAGCCTCTCAAGTTCTATCAGTCACATAAATATGACAGTCGATTGAGCAAAATCGCAGGATCTTAAGTTCATCCACAAAAACTTACCACCAGAGCGGTTCGCATGACTGTCCTGTGACACGAGCAGCGTATACATACTTGACTCCAACCGACAGTACATTGAATGGAGCATCGGACGGCATGTTATCCATTGCATACAACCATCTCAATAACAAGTCAGATCCATTTTACCTGAAAATCCAGATACTGGTAGCCTTACTCTATACGATGCGATAAGACATCTTTATATGGTTGCCGAGAGGCGCTGACGAAGAACGCAGCACGATTCGGCTGAGTAATTGGGCTTTCTGTCATGCCTTCTTGCCGAAGGAATCCTGTCGAGGAAAATATAGAACCTCATTCTAACTTGAACTTTTTGATTGTTCATAAAGACTGCATGCACAGCTCCAATCGTCAAACAGTGCAACTTAATATCCATCAAAACTCGGAACCCTATGATACTCGAGACTGATCTCAATCGGACTGCATTTCAGCCACCAGCTCAATTAAAACAGAGATCAGAAATGCCTAGACCGGTTTCCTTGCTCACAACGTGTAAGGTCACTTAGGTGAAAGGTAGCAGTCGCTATAAAAAACCCTTGAATTAATTCGCAGTGGTTGGGCCACAGTCAACTTGACTGCCGACTAAAAGCCATGGTGACTAAAGCTATACAAACTGCGATTAAACGAGTTTGTTTATTATGGCACGCACTCATTTCTCCTTTTCATCTGTTCGCATTCTCTTCTTCGTTCTTCAGAATTAAAATTTGACGGTCGCTCCCGTGCCTGAAAATTTCTCGCTTAACGCTAGCCAACCACGTATGACGACTATACTCCCCACTACCTAGCCAAAGTTGACAGCGCTAACTTCTCCTTCCATGGTTACTATATAAGCAACCGGAGAAACTTGCTCCGGTGTACTAAATTCTAAGTACTGACTCTAACATTGCTCTAGAAGGTCGAAAGGAAATATAAAAGTGTCGAATATAGTAAAATTCGGAATTCGGGTTTCACGAATTAAGCATCTATACACTGCGTTTCATAAATATAGGGCCACCCTAAATTTTTCCAGTTCCAAGCATGCAGCGCATTTTTGGAAAATCCTGCCATAACCAGTAGATTCCTCA